GTGGATTACTCGCCCTGGAGTCCTTCGTCCTTTTGAGAAAAAGCCACCGCTTAGCTCGCCACAGTTTTTTTTCACCTTTCGAGGTTTTGGCAGCTGCTGTCCTCTTTGCCGTCTGCGCTGCAGGGCGCAACTGGACCACAGAGAAGTTCAACTTGACACGTATCATCCCAACTGTCTGCGTTATTAATTTTCGCTACAGGACTATGCTCATTTCAAGTTGTCACATAGCCGTAGCGGCAATGATCCTCCTATCACGCGAGCTCCCTGGGTCAGAGCCCGGCCCGGCTAGCGCCCAACCCAACTAAGCCTTCTTTCCTACATGGACGGAAAATTAGCGTTATTTAATCGGCTCTGGGGGGAAAATAGAAACATACTAGCAAGTTGGCTGATCTAGCCATGATATCGACCTTGTCGGTACGTCACACCATGGGATCGGCTAAAAACATCTCAAAAATCAGATTTTTGACTAAATGATGCGGGAAGGAGTATTACAGCTCAGTTTGCCTAAAAGTGCGATAGGCATTCGCTTATCTTCCGACAAAATTTGAACAGTGAACCTTTCATAGTTATTCGATTATCTAGGACTAAAACAAACTCTTCTCGCAAGGTAGTATTCACGTGATTGTGCCCCGGCTAGGACTCGAACTGCTAGCTGTGTTACGCTGTCACAGGTCAAATTTCAACGAGTAGCGTGCTCTGGAATCCCGACGAGCAAAAGCCGGCCACGTTGCCGTCCCAGAAACACGAGGTGGCGAACATTCGAAAACAATTAGAGAATCATGTATGTTCCGATAGAGAAGAAGTCGAAGGTGTTGCGGAAGACCGCAATAGAGGAAAGAATTCCTCACTGGTGTGCTCAACAGGACGGAAAAAAGTCTTATGCTCCACCGACACAAATGTGACGAAAGTGCACGATAGGGGTGATATGATAAGCTCTGCTATTCTAGTACCAGGAGAACGTTACCTTGATAACGTTGACGTTTTTGAGAAACGACCTTCTTACCAGAACATGATCGATCTCTGTTTGTCTCCCTCCACTGCTGTATAGTTGCCTTTTGTGTCCTCCTTTTCGCGAAGAAGGTGTACATATTGCTAAGTCGTGGGCTATTTGGCTAGGTCAAGGACCCGTTCTCCCTCAGCGCTTCTTGCTCCTATTCCTTGACCTCCTTGCACCCTTTCTAGGCCCCTTCTGTCATTTCCCACATGGCCATTGAGATTCCCAGCTATGGTGAGGTAGTCATCTTCCGGAACCGATCTTATGGCCTCGTCCGGGGTCAGGTAGAACTCATCCTTTTTCGCCTCGGAACAACCGACTTGTGGTGCGTACACGGTCATTACTGTCCAGTATGCCTTTCCTTCTCGTTCATTCTTCACTCCCATGAATCCGATACTGATCCTGTTCACAGAGGAGATAGAAACCTTGAGGGATTCTGCCACCGCTATGGCCACGCCATTCCGTTTGGGGTGTCCCCCATTGTAGAAGGGTTCGACACCCTCTCTAATTTCGTGCCTTTCGCACCCTTCCATCGCGTTTCCTGCAGGCATAGGACTTGGATATTCCTGCGTCTCATGAGGTCGGCAACCTCACGAGACTTCCCGGTAAGCGACCCCACAGGTCCAATTCGAACTAACTTCTTGGCCGAGTCGCTTCACGTGGCGTATGCGCCTCGCAATACATCCACAGAATTGAAAGAGAGGTTCTGCGCGCCCCTTCCGCGTGACGTCCTACGCTTATAACATTTGATACTTTGCGCATTGTCAAGATCAGTTGCTGAGTGTTCCTCCTCAGCTGGCCTGTAAACCTAGACCTAACACTGGTATCCGTCATCATTTTTGGCAATGCAAGTAGATTTGTGCCGCAGCGAGGATTCGATTCGAAGCTCAGACTGTCAACATGAGTCTCACTCTTAACCAGTCGGCTATCCAAGCTTTGCTCCACGCTTTACGCATAAATGAAAAACAAATTCGCAACTGGCGACTTGGATACGATAGTTATGCTCAATGTTTTTAACCCAGTGTTAATAATGTAATATTTTCCTAGACAACTTGTTGTTGAAGTAAAATATTTATTATATTTAACTGCGAATATCAATTACAACGCTTTAGCGCGCCGCGCTGAGCTCCTTCTCAAGATGGTAAGATCTTCAGATCAGAAACTGAATCGCGCCATCCTCGGCGATTGCGCAATCGCCAATTGCGAAACCCACCACTCCATTCGCCTTGTTGAGGGCGGAAGAACACTGAGCCTGGCAACCGAAAAAAGCGAACCTTCATTTTTAATATCGGCAACAACAGGTAACAGGTGATAACAGAAACATAGCAGGAGATCAAGGAAACATCTTCTTCTTCTTTACTTTTTTGAAGAGTGCGACTTCCTTCGTTTCTGTTCTTTCTCCTTCTTGCGTTTCTCTTCCATATCATCTCTCCTTTCTGTGCTCCTCTTGGATTTCCTGAAATATCGAGGTGATATCTTTGACAGGAGAAGATTGGGAAGGGAAGCTAACTAACAGGGTGGGAGTGTAATTGATATTCGCAGTTAAATATAATAAATATTTTACTTCGACAACAAGTTGTCTAGGAAAATATCACATTATATTACACTGCTCATATCAATTACAATGCTTTTTCAACACACCTGTTCGAAGAGAGCACCGAGTCCTGGAACGATTGCTCCAGTGGACCTTTGTAATAAAACTTCTCAAAGGTGGTACCATTTGGTGCCCAATTCGCTGCTTCCATAATTGCCTTTGAAGAGAGACCCTGCCTCTTTGAAAAGGTTGTGCTTGCTGCCCTAGTTGAGTGCGCTTTAAATCGGTCATCTATGCCAGAGTTTTTCAGCACTTCTCGGAGCCAACGAGCTATCGTGGTGGATGTTACACTTTTGTGAGGACGGTTAACGCTCATGAATAAAGTCCGTACTTGGTTACGATATAAGATAGTGCGATTTATATAGTCTTTTATCGTCGCCAACGGACATAGGAGGATGTCGTCTTTATAGGCTTGCACGACCGCTGTGTGTGCTTTGCCGAATCCTCTATTTTTGTTCATGAAATTCAAGGAGAAGGCCCAACAACCCTCTCCCAAGCGTACTGAATCTAACGATAATGCTGCTAATTCGGAAACTCTTTTGGGAGCCACTAGGGCTAACAGCATTACCGTTTTATGAGTTAGCTGTTTGAGGTTCAAAGTGGCATTAGGCCCTAGAGATCTCAGATATTTCAGTACTGCTGATACATCCCATATATCAGCGTATCTGGGTCGTGGGGGGCGCTGTCGAAAGAACCCTTTCATGCACCTATTTACAAGGATCATGTCCTCCCTACAGAACTCCCCATTGATGGCCGAAAGGTAGACGATTATGGCCGACTTATGGGTGCTGATCGATGAGAAGCTTGCGCCTGATTCGAACAGCTGGCCCAGAAAATTCAAAATATCTTCGACCCTAGGGTGCAACCTGTCTATACCAGTATTCTTGCAGAAGGCTGCCCACTTTTTCAAGGCGCTATTGTACTGTTTTATTGTAGCGCGTGACCAATTTGACATAATGGATTGCACGACCACCTCTTTTCAGCCTCCCACCTCTCCAGAATTCGCCTAAATGATGCATGCTATCAAATGGAAGGAGGGAGATTTGAGGCATGGGTGAGGAGACCCGCTGGAATCTGTCAAAAGGTTCCGGTCTGATATCAACGGCGTGATCTCTTTGCCGTGCTCCATTACTAGTGGCCACCAACTTTGATTTTTCCACATGGGGCACACCAGAATCAAGCGTGCCTTCTCTTTCAGGGCTTTTCTGATTGTCTTCCCTACTAGATTGAATGGCGGAAAGGCGTAGCCGTAAGTCTCCGACCAGTCTTGAGCGAAAGCGTCTACGCCCGCTGCGCCCGGATCTGGAAAGAATGAGAAGTATTTCTGACATTTGTTGTTCCACCGGGAGGCGAAAAGGTCTATCTTAGGTACGCCCCACTTTGCAAACAGTAACATGGTTGTTTTACCATCAAGAGAATAATCGGAAGAGTCATTCGATCTCCTCGAAAGGAGGTCTGCTTCAACGTTCTGTACCCCTGGCTTGTATGAGGCCAGCAGTTTCAGGTGACGTTTCAAGGCCCATAGCCACAATAAGCGCGTTAGCTTGTTCAAACGTGCACTTCTGGTTCCTCCTTTCTTATTTATATACCAGACCGCTGTTGTGTTGTCCAGCTGCACGCGAATGGTGCAATGGCGAAGCTTGTCTGCGAAACAGCGTAAGCCCAGTATACAAGCTGCTAACTCTCTCTCGTTTATGTGCCACTCTAGTTCTGAGGGTTTCCACTTCCCACTAGTACTGCCGTATGCGCATATTGCACCCCATCCCATATTTGACGCGTCTGATGTAACAGTGAGTGACTCATCTTCATGAAGGATGGGCTCACGAGCTACCTTACCAAAATCTGTTGATAACCCGACGGCCAAGTCGGCTGCGCGGGTGCCATCTTTCTGAGTAGGCGTGCCCTAAAGTCTTATAGTCGCTCGCATTCTTCAGAGGGAAACTGCCTAGCCACATCTGAAGAGGTCGGAGAAATAGTACAGCAATACTTGCTGCCATGCTTACTGAGTTGACTTGTCCAATAAAGCTAGCGACTTCGCGAAGAGTGACTTTTCTCCGCTTCCGCATTTTTTTGGCAGCTTGACAAATGGTTGCTATCTTTTGATCTGGACGCGAGAGTTCAAAACTTAATGAATTGATAGTCATCCCGAGAAATTCCACTACTTGTGAAGGTTCAAGCTGTGATTTTTTCTCGTTTATGGTTAGACCTAGATTTTTGAGTAACATTGTGATTTGGCTGATCTTCGATGAGAGAGATTCCCCTTGTCTTTGTCTATGAATACAACACAGTTCGTCCAGGCTACAAATCAGTCGCTGATCCGTTGTCCGCGACTTCCTGAGTTTCAGAAAGCAATATGCCCTCATTAGCTTCTGGTACACGTAGAGGTGCTTGAGGATTAACCCGGAACGGCACAAGCGCTTTGCAATCTGGAAAGAGCCTCCCGCCATATGGATAGCTATAGTAATTGTTCCTGGAAACTCCGTCTCTGTGGGATAGGGAGCCTGAAAATAATATGCGTTCATTTCAAGTGTTTTTGCCATGATAATTCGGTTTTTCTCATAACGAGAGCTTTTATCATTTAATGGACTCCAATTGTTTGAAATGGTAGGTTTTGATATACCTATTGAGTGGCTTCAAGTTTATTATGGTTCTGTTTCCACCGTCCTTTTTTGGAATGACGAAAATTTTTGAGGTCCAAACTTCTGAGGACCAGGGAATCTCTTCAATGGCATTTTTGTCTAGCATTTCCTGCACTTCGACGCTTAGAAGGTCAGATTCGGAGTCAGTAGTGCATGCGGACTGCAAGGAGCATTGGGGGATTTGGTCACCGAACTCTAACTTGTAGCCTTGCAGGCTCGCTTCACGCATCGAGCCAGGGGTCTTGAATACAATGCCCAGTTTTTTTCTGAAAATAGAAGCTTAGCCTACCCGCTCGTGCTTCGGACTCCTCAAGGAGAGTGAGCTGTTTCTCGACCCTAATGATATGTTGATAAACTGACCTATCTTTCTTCGACGAATATGTCTTCATTTTCTTCGAGCTGCCATGCGTTCGTTTGGCCTTCGCCTCCTTCACCAGCGCTTCGGGTCACTCGCTAAATAGACTGACTCTATAATATAGCTACTTTGAAAGGGGTTGTGAATCCACAACAAGGGAGTAAGGCGAATCCAAAAGAAGCACATTTGTCATGGCGCATTCCAAAAAGAACGGATATTCGACACATCATCTCAGTGTTTTAAATTAATTGCCCATCTTTTTCAGAAGTGCTTGCCTCTAGCATCCCTGAAGGAAATGTTGGACCAATGAGAGCACCACGAACTCGTAAGATCATTTTTGTTCAATCACTCATACAGCTACTGCGTACTATTGCTGAACTACAGAAAATACGGCAACAGTGGGCAGTCCCAGTCCATATCTGAAGGCAGAAAGGGCTTGGCTGCGAGGGCAGGGAAGGATAGAGCGGAGAGGGGCGGAAGCATATAAATACGGGAAGAGGTTTGGCTGTAAGAATCCGGCAGCCACGGTTTCGCGGCTGCCCTCACATCTGGATGATACTTATCTGGAGGGATAGTGATTTATATTCATTAGCGATTACTTATTAGCAGACACATTAACTAGCACCCTTTTATTAGTGGCTCGACACAAATGTACGCATTTACACCCTTCAAAGACAAACTGCTTACTGATGCCACACTCATGAACGGCATTTGAAATGGCCAGGCTTTGTCCGCGTTCGGGGATGTAGCGCGCAACATCGCGTGAAGATTAACTCCAGCAACTAGCATAAGGCTGAGTTTTATACTTTGTGGCAGTGCCCGCCGGGGTTCAGACCGTCTAGTAGCGTCAGCGACTAAGAAGGTATGGATATCGAGCGTGCACCACGTCCGGGAGATAAGAAAATTGCGAGATTAGGAGGTAAGGCAGACACATGGTAGCCTCCTATCGGCGCCGTAAGCTCGTTCTCGCCCGAAGCTATGAGACTAGAACGCCGGTGTACGCGTGGCAGAAGCTAGATCATACCTGCAGTTTCCGCTAAGCCTTGAGACGCGCGGTGCACGCTGGCAAGACGCTAAGATCGATATCTATAGTTTTCGCTAGTGCGCCGACATGCGGAAGCCGAAATGCTGGTTGACGCCATTGGTTGCTGGTGGATGCTGCCGCAAATTGCGAGTAGTTTAGAGCCCGCTTTTTTCTCTAGTGTCAGCGTAAAATTTTTGGCAGAAAACTTACTTCAGGTAGTGTCATCATTCCCAAGTAACTGTGAACTGCTGGTCACCTCTGATCAGCCTGAGTGAATGGAAGTGTGGGTATCGAACTGCCGGCTAATGAAAGGTGAGATGATCACAATGGGGAATTTGAGAGAGCCGTGTCCGAATTCGACGAATCCGCGTGTAGCTGATAAACAACCAACAGTAACGGGTTGGTTATTTATCACCTTCACGCGGATTCGTCGAATTCCACTGACCATAGACCACGAGTTTAAAAGAGCGTCATGGAGGGCATTCGCCACAAGCTACGCGCATGCGTTCTTATTTGTCTATGGTCAAGTCTCTAAGGCTCTTTTCCGCTCCCTTGGGACTCCTATATCCCCATTTCCGGTATTTCTTGAAATTTTGGTATTTGGAAGTTTCTCGGGGTGAGTACGACCCCACCCCCTTCCTTCATGGACCAAATACGAACCCATGCCTCGGAACCCTAAGTACGACGTGATCTCATTGCTTACCTTCCTACACTACTTTCGTTCCTTCAAAAGGATCTCACCTAATAATAATCAATTTCAGATAAATGAAGAACATCTTGATCTGTTTGCTCCTCCTTACCATTGCTATTACCAATGTAGCTGCCCAGTACGGCTACTACGGTCATTATCCATACTATGGTGGTTACTATGGAGGTTACAGTCCTTACGGTATTTACGGCTACAATCCATACGGCTACAATCCAATCAGAGGAGCACTTCGAGGAGCTCTCGCAGGAGCCGTGATTGGCGGTCTTACTGGTGGATAATCATTAGAAAAGTGTAGGTACCTGTGTGTAAATATATGTAAATCTTACCGAAAATCTGTTGTTATGATTGTTACACTGCTATAATGAAGTTTTGAAATTTAGTCAGCTTTAATGTCCGAGGTTCAAGAGAAATATTAAAGGAATAAGAAACGATAGTTTGGTATTCGGTCTAAAATGGTAGCAGGTACTGTATAGAGGGGAAGTGGCGAAAAAAACGAAGTAAAACTGTTAAAAAACATGCAAAAACCTTTCCTCTACGCGATTCAGAAAGCAATTTTGGACGAGTTTTCCCTTATACATAGCGACAACAACCGCTACGGTAAATACGGCTGCATGTACGTACTCATATAACCAGGGCAGCACCACAGACCACTTATAATCAATTCGCCTTTAGCTTCGTATTGTCTTGACAAATGAACAGATATGAGCATCAGGATGGCGTCGGACATTTGTGGGCGAGCGGGCGCGCGCTTTTAACGTTGGATCGGTACGTTGCAGCTTGATAGGGCGCTGTAAGGGTGTATCCTTGGAAAAGACGCCACGCAGCGCTTCTCAGGGGCGCCAAATTCAGTCTTGCTACGAATAAATCCACATGGATTGGGCAGTGATGCCACTGCTTTCAACCCTTGCGCATGTAGGACTTGCTATTGTACCACTTTGCCGCTTAGAAGTGCACAACAAGAGTGCTAGGGGGAGCATGCGATTGCCACAAACTATGCCTGACTACTTGAAATGCCCACATGCAGTCATTATCCTTGTAAGAAGTGAGCGTGTGAGGGGGCTGAACTAGCTGGGGCGAAATCTTCTCCATCCAATAATGCCTCCAGGAAATGGTCTGCAGGAAGTGGTGGTTGGTTACATAGGCAATGGTGCGCAAGGGCCTGAAATAGGCAACATTCCACAATAACTAAGCCTTACAACTAAATCCGAGCAGACGTCTTCTGCATGCAGCGTGATGTATGTTGTATAAAAGTTGGGCGCTGTTTGTCGACGGGGGGGGGCATTTTGTACTACCATTGCTTCCCTAGTTCCGGTTTACAAATCTCACCCTGGTAACTTGTGAACCCTTGTGAAGCTGGTGCAAGATCGTCTAGCCACCATCCTAAAACGTGTCAACTCGAGAAAAGGCTACCTAGATGGGTCGGCACATCTATGGAAAGCAGAATGCCCCCCCGTCGACAAACTGCGCCTAAAAGTTGCTATTGTTTCATCTCAAATATAAGTTGTAAGGCAGAATTCACGATGAGCAGAAAGAAGTACGTACGTATCGGGATTGGAGGTAAAGGTGTACATGCCATTTGACCGCTCGTGGAAAAAAAAAGAAGAAAGCAAGGAAATAGTCGAAAACACTCGAAATCAGGCTTCTCCTAAGCGAGAGACAAAAAATCGATGTGGTTCTCGGTCGAGAGGCCAGACAAGAGCGGCGAGAGAGCACGCAAACGAGTTAGACAAGCGATAAGACATCTATCAAAGTGGGCGGATTCACTGACATTATGGCTCAGTGTACAACTTTGTGCCTTACCGCCGCTATCTTACAACTTTCTAACACGGGCCTTGTACAGGATTGTTCGTTGCGGTTTTCCACTATCTTCCATTTCAAAGGGCTCATATACTTATAGGCAGGTGATCGTGGGCCATGGCTTTGAATCGACTTACCAGCTATATGATCGTGTATGACTGAGAAAATAAATAGCAACGATGGTAACTGCACTTGCCTAGACTAGCTTGTTACCTAACAATGTGCATTAAAGAGCGATAGTGGCCTATTGGATTGACACCATTCCCATCCAATCACCTGGGTAATCCCTAGTGGATGTTGTCTACCTGGCGTATAAGAACAAATGGTTCCGCGTCATTTAAATGACTGACTTCAGACTTACCACTTCTAAGCGAATGTTGTTCGGGTCAGTGACGTTCACTATATAAATGCGATCCGAATTAAGGCACGGAAGCACCAAGTGACTTCTGAAATAAGAATATCGCTTTTGAATATTCTCTCACAAAAATGGCTTCGCTTTTTACTCACCTTTTGGCTGATGGATTATCGTGACAAGATGAGCAAGCGTTCCATCCAGAATGATGAACTTCATCGCCGAGGTGGGGAAATACAATTTTGGAGAGTACCTGAAAAAGCGAGGCAAAATTTGGCATCAAGTGATGTCGATGGGGCAGTTCGGCGACGGGGGGGGCATTTTGCTTCTCATCGATGTGTAGACCCACCTACATAGATAGCCTTTTCTTGAGTGGACACGTTTTACCATGGTGGCTAGACGGACTTGCTAGAGCTTCCAAGGGATACCATCCTTTCAACCAAAGTGGGACTTCTAAACCGGAAAGTAACGAAAGCAGATGAAAGTGCAAAATGCCCGCCGGTGCCGACTTGGCGCCACAACTTTGTCTGATTTACTCCAAGCGGCGAGCGAATCTCTAACCTGAACAGGGGCATTTTAAAGAAGAGACGGAGCTTGCACGAAGTGGGCGGGTGGGCGGGATTCCCATAGTGGGTGGATCTATTTAGTGCAGTTCGAATGATGAATTATTTAAAGGAATTAAAATCTGTCAGCATGGAGGTGCTCATCCGTCAGTTCGTTCTATGAGGAACAATGGGTATGAAAACAATGAAGCCGAAAAACTCATATAAGAGTCAAAATACGCAAAAAAACTTTTTGAGAAAAGGGCAGAGTCGATCTTCTGCCTCTTATGTACCCTTGTCAGCTAAAGTGCTATGATAGAATAGCTGCAAAAACAGCACACAAGCAAAAAATTTAAAAAAAATTGAACAGTAGTAATCGTGCTGTGGAGTGGGCGTGGCCTGGGAGGGGCTTGCGTCATTTGATCACGGATAGTAGGGATGGCGCCCAGTAGAATAATTGCCTAATCGCTTAGCGGAAGACTTTTGAAGCAAAAAGAGTGGTCCACTGAGGATATTATGAGCCAGCGGTGGCTCATACCAACCGCAAAGAAAAGCTCTGCCCCAACTCGCAAAACTCGTTGATGTCGTCAAAGTACTGTAGCTGGCGGCAAGCAGATACGTAGCAGCATGTCCACCGTACTCAAGAAAGGAACTTTACCTATCACGTATTCATTTATTTGTTTATTTATCTATTTATTTATTTGTTGCATGCACGAGTATGGAGGTACGCTATTACGATAAGTCGTTGGATGCCACGTAAACAGGGACTTAGGCCATGACAAATTACTACAGCACTAAATCCTCAAAACGGTAGGAAGGTGTCCTGTCAGCTACCGAAGAAAACATGCTTCACCACCTGTAGGAGCCATATAAAATTTCACGAAGGATTCAACAAAAGTAACTTCATTAGGCGGATGACGCTAGGGAGAACGCCACTCCTAGACGAGAATTTTGTGGAGTTTCCTTTTAGGGTACAGAATTCTCACCTGACAGAAGGTATTACTGTTTGGGTCGACGTCTATAGCTACCATCATATCTCCAGTCGTTGCTTTCGTATGAGCACATTTTGTGAATAGCACCTGAAACGAGGTACATACATGATCACATGAATTCACTGTAAATGGAGAACATGT